CAGATGGATGGATGGATGGTCATTTTCGTCCCAGCACACAAGATTTCCCACACAAGATTTTCCATGGTTATAACACTGAAGGGTTTCTTTAGATTGAAACATACAAAAATGTACACTCACCCACACATGAACATATGATAACTGGCGCTACATATTTTTAACCCCTGGTTGAGTTGGCATGGTGTTACTCTCACAGGGAAACAGTTACTGTATGTTTCCATCATGTTCCACAGAAAAGTTTTTTGCCTAATGTGAATTCTGATGTCTTCCTCACTTTGTTTGGATATTTTTGTTTTCAGTAGAGACGTCAAAAAGCCAAGGTCTTCCATCTGAGAAAGGAGTTTTACCTCTTTACAGTAATTGCACATATTTGTCTTAAACATCCATGAATTATAAATATATGATTAATTATTCATCTCCTTGCTTGCTGTGCTAATGTGCACAAAGTGACCTTATTCTTCATCTGCTCACAGTGCATCTCACATACAAGCTGTGACATTGCATGCCACACTGTTTACAGCATGCAGTGATTTAAAACTGCAAAGTAAAACTTAATTATAAGCACCATTACAGCAAACACTGGTATACAAGAGTGTTGCTTGTTTCCTTAAATACAGTGAGTTGTGATTTTTATGTTAATGCAACCTGGATGTTTTACACACAACAATTAAGTAGGAATTGGCCACAGATTCTCTTTTAAAGAGGGACAATAACAACAGTTGTGTGTGTGTTTCCCTTGATTCTACCATCTTTAATCTCTGGCCTTTAACTGAGATCCATGGGGATCCACCAGTGAGATGTCCGTATCCATCCATCCATTTATCCATCCATCTACAGTACAAGGTGATTGGCGTCAGTCAGCTGTTTGTCTTTTTGGTGGCTTGCGTATAGATCCTCTATCTATTGATTCTGATCGATTGGTTAATCTGTCTTTAGGTTGCTCTGTCTATCTATCTCTCTGTCCTTCTCACTATGGATTCAAAATGAAAATAAAACATAATTAATATCCCATGAAAAGGTGAAGTCAGATTTCTGACAATTAACTCCGTTTTGGGAAGCAGCAGGCCTGGAAAGCGAAAGCTTCATTTTCCCTGTGGTGTACTGAGTGTGAGTCACGATGAACCCTGTGCTGACTCCTCGTGGTGAGCTATCGATCCATTACCAGGATCACCTTCTCATCATCCCTAGGCCTCATTAGCAAGGGCTTATTAGCTGAGTAGGGCTATTACAGTGCTGTGCAGATGAAACCAGTGGTGAATGGGGAAAACACATTTTATCTTGGACTTCCATGCCTGACTGGCATCGCCTTCCTAAATGGAATATATAATTGAATAGAGTCCAGAAACAGAGATAAGACACGTTGGATGGCATGAAAGAAAATCAGTGTGGGCTAATTTGGGCTAATCATTTAAAAAAAAAAAAAAAAAAAAACATATAAAAAAAACTGTGTTGTTTTTATACCGGATTTTGGTGTCTTGTTGATGACAAATAAATGAGAGATCTGAATCTACAACTCCTTCAGAACTGAAGCTACAGTAGTTGACCAAAGGTTTTCAAAGGCAGAAATCAATCATATTCCTCTGAGTAACTCAGTCAAATCTAAACACACAGACATGAAACACATATTTTTAGGTTCAGTGTAACTTAGACTTTCCGAGGATATCATTATCTCCTATGTTCATCGTGAATGAACTTCCAGAAATCTGCTTACAGACAGAAAAAAAGATCTTATAACTGGAGAGCTAGCCTGGGAATAATCATATTTTTAAGAGTTTTCTTCTCCTCAGTATCACAATAATTCAGTAATCGTTGTCAGTGCATCCATGAGTACATTGCAAATAGGAGCTGCTAATAGCTCATTTGGCATGCTTTTAATAATGCAAATTTACCAAAATGTAAGCTAATTGTTTACATCCCACAAAGCCCTCAAATGATGGGAACTGACATGTATTGCTTTTTGTACATGTGAAGGTGCACATTGTGGTGACAAAAACTTTTTCCTTGAATTTTCTTTCACCTAAATGAAACCTATAACCTTGAGCTTTTACAGTGTTAATTTAACACCTAGATAGACCTTTATAATCTTTATAATCATCAATCAAGACATGGGAATCTCACTTTCTACAATAATGGACCTTTAACTTCCTTTAGCCCAAGCCTGTGTGTTACAAAGGTACATGTTCTCATGCTCCTTCATTGCCGTTGTTATGATGTACATGTCTTTATGCTTGCATACACAGAGTGGCCAACCCTGTCTCCTAGAAACTACATTTAAATGTTAGGAAAAAGTTTTCATCAATGTAATTGCTGGCTGGATTATCTTTTATTATGATTATATTGTTTTCTAAATGAATGAATTGCTACATTTATGTACGAGGCTAGGGTGGAATGAGGTCATACAAAGTGCACGACTGTCGCATCAAAGACTGGAGTTTGCATCCATGGTAACGCCTGTGGTTAGGTTTAACAAAAGCACTTTGGTTGAGGTTAGGGGAAGATTGTGGTTTTGGTTAAATGTAAATAAACAGATGGTAGCTCTTTTTCATATCATTAAATATGTAAATTAAAAGCATATCCTCATTATCTCAATAGAAAGGTGTAATCTAATTTGAAATAATGACTTGCTGTTGAAATTATTTTCTAACAAAGCATTAGGCCTATCTTTTGTGCTCGTGGACACTTCAAAAAACAGCTGTTCCATTCACTTGAATGAAGGTCTTTACGACTGACAAATGAATGTATGTGCTTGCTGTTTTTGGTGCGCACTCCCGGCCTCTTTGTTCACCTTTACCCCGTAAGTTTACACGTTCACTCGAAACAATGATTCACTATATTTGGAAATGGGGAGATCATTATTCTAGCAATCTGGCATCACCTTATTTTGCACAATATCACACGTCCAGACTACAAGCCGAAGCATCACATACACTGCTTACAGTTTGTCGTTCATCTGATCAATATTTATTCATTACCCACATCAGGGACCGTGACATCACAGTCTTTTTTGGGTGCATGCAGGGCAATTTCATTAGACTGGAAACCAATGGAACCATATCTTTACACAGGTAGCTCCAATTATCGAACAAAACTATTTAATTCATGGGACGAGGGCTGATTATTTAGATATTGATTGTACTTTCTCCATAAAACAAAATTTTACCCAATTATGGATAGTGTCATAATAAAGGCATCCAGTTATAGCAAGAAAAATATCTTAATGGAAACATACACTTAGGGGAAAAAACTTTATGTTAGTGTGAGATACCAGGATATCCTGGGGACCCAGGAGTCTAAGACACAAAGCATGTAATTCTGCATGCTTGAGTTTGTTGCATACACCTTCTTTTTCCCTCTCTCCTTCTTTTCACATCTGTTCTGTCTCCCTAAAAAGTGTCCAAATACTTCAAATAAGATAGTAGGAACTATTTTATCTCAGTGTAGTAGCTTTGTCTTTCTATGAATCCTAGGGCTGTTGAAACATCTTGAATTATTTTGCCACAGAGTAGACAGCATTATTCTCAAGTGTCCACAAACCGAACTGATGAGAATCCCATTTTGTTTAGCAAGAGCAATATTCATAATGTATTAGCCCTAAAGGAATTGATCACTAATGATCATTTCTGTTAAATTTTCATGCTTGTCCATTTCTATTTCTAACTGGCTCCAGCAACAATTGCTTTTCTGATTTCCTCTTTACATTTCACGACCTTGGACTGTGGCTAATTGCACTTTTACAGTGTCTCTTTAAAGTTGATTTTAACAAGCCAGCTGTAGCTCCCAAAACCACAAAAACACACTGTGGGAGTGTTTGTACCGGATATTATGAGATGCAGTCTACTTTTATACTCTCAGGAGAAAATCTTTCACATTATAACAAGATACTTTTCATGTTAGATTGTCTTCATTATAACAAGAAAACTTTTCCTTCTTCCTCAAATAAAGTTTCCTCAACTGCTAAAAGAACTGCATTTAAATAATGACAAACTGTGAAGTTACAGTGTGATAAGTCAGCTCTGTGCTGCCATACTATTATGGTTAATAATAGTTAAGTTAAATCAGGTAAAAATCATTTTCATAAATATAAGATCGACCTGAGAGCATTGTGATGACAAAAAAGATGAAATTAAGTAAAAAGGAAAATCTGAATAGGTAAAATAACACGTATAAGTGGTGTATGGTGCAGGGCAACTTTCAGTTTTAAATAATCTGTGTATGTGCCAAAAAGCTTCTAAGTGAAAAATGTTGACAGCTGCAAAGTAGGTGTATTGTGTGTCCTTCCCTGGGTCGTTTGACAGCCATTATCATATTACCTCCATAGGTTATTATCATCAAAAGACGCCGAAATGTCAGCAGGAGTTCTGCGAGTTTGTGGACGAAAATCCGGGAAAAAAAACAAAAAAAAAACAACCTAATGTGTTTGTATGTGGAGCTCTACCCTGCCGACACGACTTCCAGGTCCCCGCGCCTCCAACACGTGTCTGCACTCTAATGTGCCTCTGGTGCGCATTACCAAGGATGCATAGAGGCGGAGGACAGTGCGCGCCCACTGGATGCGAGCTGCTGAAGTCGCAGCCACTCCACTCCATGTTTTGCCCTGCCCTTGTGCGTTCTGCTCGCCGTGCAGCGTGCGTCTCCGTTGCATTTCGCTGTCCTCACACAGACACAAACACAGGGCTTGTGTGCATGCGGGAGAAGTTGTTGGCAGAGAGAGCACCAGGTAGCAACTGTCTTCTTCTAACGGATTTGTTCAAGCTGGGAGCAGTCGGACTCACTGGGTTCTTTTTTTTCTTTTTGAGGTGGGAAGACAACGAAGCTTTTGCGATGAGGTGGACGTACCAGTATCTAAAGTGAGGAGTGATCTTTTTCTCTTTTTCTCTTTTTGCTTTTGTTTTAATGAACATCTGACACCGCGCTCAGTGGAGAAATCTTTCACGCAGCCCTCTGGATTTCTTTTAGGAGCTCGTATTCCCCCCCGTGAAACGTTATCAAGGATTTCACTGATGTATGCGATGTGGAGACTGCAAGTCGCCTTATGTACTCTGTCGTTGCTGTCCCTGTCATCTGGTGGTGAAAGCAAAGCGCGGAGCTGTAGCGAGGTTAGACAAGCTTATAACGCTAAAGGATTCAGCCTCGTCAATGTACCTCATCAGGAAATATCAGGTAGGTGAAACTGACTAATCATCAATGCGTCTCACCACGTGTCATGCCCCGTTTCGCCCCTCAAATTAAACAATTTGATCATGATCCCCCCCCACACACACACACACACACACAGCCTGATCCATGTGATCCTCCTCAAACCTTTTGAGCATCTAATTCCCCCTGTGCAACTGTCCCATTTTATTAGAGGATCCAAACAGAGTGTGAGTCTTTGCTTTTCTTTTTTTCCTTTCTTTTTTATTTTATTTATTTATTTATTTGCAGCATCCCGTTTCATGAGAGAGACTTTGTCAAAGCGTTTGTCTGAATTTACACCACATGCAGTTACTGTGTTGTGTGCTTGATTTAAGTATTTTTTTTTGTTTCTTGTATAAAATCAAAGACATGGAATTATATATGATTTATCGCGTTTTGAAGGTCACTATGATCCCCTCCATTTCCACATTGCTAAATGATGAATCACAGCAAGCTGCTTTTCATTCATTCTCTTCCATGAAGTACACCAAACATTCATATAGCTACCCACAATACACCTGTGAGAAAGCAACAGTAAAAAGAAATCACACAAATATTCATCCTCATATAGTTAAAATATTTGTTTCAGACCTTTTTAGATTTTACACATTAGTGGCCAGCTTGGTACATGGTAACATCTCAAACCTTATTCATGCTAAAACTTATTGCCTTTCCCCTGTTTTTGCACCTTTTTTTTTTTTTTAACCTTTAAAAGAGAGGTGTGCCTCACCTCAGAGAGGTCACTTCACCCACATGTTATATGAATTGATAAATAGTTAACCCATTTAACACCAGGACCAACAGCCCAGGAATCATATGTGACACCCCAGTGTTCGATTTAATGGCAGTCACCCCAATCTGAGATCATTTAGAAATGGAGCTTTTCTTTAAACAGAGACGGTGAAAGAACAGTGGCACCGGAAGATCGGTTCTGAAACGCGGCTGCATACCTGTTGCTCACATTCAACAGAAGATCATGGAGCTTGTTGTGTTGTATTTGGATAAATAGTGAATACTGTTTACCAGTAGGGGGCTGTATGCACTCAGCACGAAATACTCCCATTGCTGTGTTTCTTTCTCTCTCTCTCTCTGTCTTTCTCTCTCTCTCTTTTCGATATTCCTCAAGGCTACAGCTTAGGTTTTAATTCATGCTCTTTGGTACAGCCGAGATATGGGGTTTTATTATCTCTTGTGTGGTGGTAATCACATTTGTGGTCAAAGCAGGAAAGGAGATTAGTCAGTAAACATAGTCTGCTTCATGAGAGGGAAGAGGGGAAGCAGAGAGACCTGAAGTTAATCCCTCTATTGCCTCTTCCAGACAACATAGAGATACTGTATTGGTAATTGGCAGTGTCAGGCAGTAATGATCATAGAGCCGCCTTATTTGGTTTTAACATGGTTTTGGCTTGATGGAAATTTGATAGTTTTGTCGCCGATTGAGCGAGTGTGTGTAAGTCTGTGTCAGTGTCTGCGTGTGAGGGATTCTGTGTTTTACAAATACAGCTCACACCAATTTCATCCAGTTAGGACTCTAAACTAATCAAAATTTTATTGTTAGTGTCACCGTTGACCGTTCAGATATTTCACGTAACGACAAACTAAGCCAGCTTCTATGTTCTTCTACGTTCTAGAAAATGCAGAAAGTCAAAGTCAAAAATCTGAAAAAGCAAAAAAGAGAAAGCTTTGTGTCTCTACTGATTCCGCTTCAGTGGCAACGCATTAAATTTATCAACAGTTTAAAAGGAGACAGTGTTCAGCAGACTACTCAAATAAAAAAGAGCAGACACTGTGGTTAGAATAATTAGCCTTTGTTTCTCCAACACTTGAGTGTTATACTTTTAAAAGCAGTAATCCGGTGCTGCTGCTTTATTACTTTTATTTTACTGTTTTGCCTCTGATATGACAGAGCACAGGGAGCTGGATAGACTTCTGGTGTTGCCACCTCTTTTCCTTTTTGTCATCGGTTTTGCGGAGTGATGGTTTGTGGTTGAACTCAGCTTTATACAGTGGATCCAAAGATGTAAAATAGCCCTATATTATAATGTCTGAATTCTTGTGTGGAAAGGATTGTAATGCTGATTGAGTCTGACATTTGCACAAAATATTTAGTACTGAACATGGCTCATTGCACAATTTTTTGACATCTGGTTTATGTTTGGATTACTTATTGAGTAATTTAATGTATTGTGAGACAGGATGTTGGACTTGCAGCTGTTTGACATTTCTTTTATAGGAGTGAAAATCTTGTAGTTGTCCAGTGTCTGACCACAGAGTTTTTGTTGGCTTCCACCTCCCAGGAGTACTGGACAGATTCCTTTTACAAGAGTCAGATAACGTTTTATAAATGATTTGGAAATACTTGGACATACATTTGGCTATGAAGAGTTTTCAGTATTTATTATTCGATTCCATGGAACATTCCTCATCTGCTTGGAACGTCAGCAAGTTCACTCAAAGACCGATCCGTTGGCCACTTCATAGATCGAGATGTTTTTGGTGGCTGTGATCAAATCCTAATTACAATTCACTTACAGCCCATACACTATGTGTAATTGGATCTTGTTGTCTTCAAATAACCTTTGCATGAATACAACAGAGGTTAGATATAGGCCTCAGGAGATGGGATAGTAGAAAGCTCGCAATTATGCCTAATTAACTATGCTAATACAAACGTGCGGTAAGCTGCATGAGCAGCGTTAGCGCTCATCCCTCCATCATCTGCTGTGTCATGCTACTGCTATGCCTCTATATACAAAACACACAGGTTTAATACATTTGCAGAGGTGGCTACCTCAGGTTGTAAGCTCCCATTTGCATAAGCTAATTATTTTGACAGCTCTCTGCCACTGACAAGCCGAGCTACATTAACAGGTGAGAAACACAGATATGTTTATACAGATGTTAGTTTTTGTATAGTATAATACAATTTGCTAATTATTGAATCCGTTCTTAAACTTAAACATCAAGCTCATACAATTTGAATTAATTAAATTTAAATATTTGTTAAAGATAAACAATATAGACAGCTTTGTTTACGTGTGTTTGTTGGCTGAAGTCTGAACAGTTTCTTTCTTTGCATTTTCGTCAGACGCTTCTGAATCAGCACATTCTCACAGCTACTATCTAAATTCTGCAGGCCATCCATTATTGTAGTATTATAGAAGTGTTTCAATGGGTCTCATGGGCTCCAGAGTCATAAAACATATCCAGAACATAAAGAACCTGGTAAACCGTCAAAGCGGAAACCCTGGATTGATGTTTCAAGGATTACACCAGAAGGCCAGGTCATTTCTTCGTGGCTTTTGCTATCTCTTGATCTCAATCTGTAAAGTTGTTGTGGGAAGATATTTATTTATTTTTTCTGTGCATGCCATTTAATGTATAAATACACAATATGTATTTTTTTTAATTTTCCCCAGCGACCGAGTGATTGAACGAGCTGTAACTCTTCACATTTACAGATGTTATGCCGGTAGAAAGCAGAAACATTCGGTGTATGGTCTCGCACTACTTCCGAGACAGTCAGATTTGCATGTGTGGTTTCGCCACGAAGAGATGTAATGTATTCTCAGCAGTATAACACTTCTGTCACACTCACTGCTGTGCCTGGCAAATTGTCATCATACATGGTTTTACTCTGGGATTGAAATAACAGTTTGACACTCAAGCAGACATAAGGTAATTGCCAGAGTTAGGGGACTTAGGGAGAGGTCAACCATGCTACCCACTTCATAGATTAAAGACTACTTTCTCTTTCTCGTTTTACCTAAGGACTCTCAAGTGCCTAAGCTTGCTTACAATCCGGGCGCGGTGGGAGGTGGAGGCCAGTCAGAAAAATCTTACTGGCTTTACTAGTTTTCATACAGTCTCTTGGAAGAGAGCCAGGATTCTTTGCGAAGAGCAGGTGTGGGTAAGATAGAGAGGTTGTGCTGAACTACACTGCTCTATGTGGGGTGAATCTGAAAAATGTCTAAAAGTATCTGTTGAACAGCTTCATTAAACTCCACCAGTTTGAGCTTGTGATTCCTCCGCTTTCCGCGTCCGTGTTGTCAATGTACCATTGCCTTGCCTGGTGTGTTTTATGCAGCAGTCAGCCAACGATACAGCTTGCCCGTGAGGATCATCCCTGTGTGAATGTGTCAGACGTTAGCTATAGTGTCACGCACACAATGCTGCGTGATTGTCAGCCCTTTGTTCATAAACACAACTGCTCCTGAATGCCTCAGTCAGGCCCTGCCATGGAGCTCTTGCTCTGAGGCTTTGCTGTTAATATCAACATTCACTAACACAGAGCAGTTGGGATTCTCATGGGTGGACTCGGCTCTTTGCTGCGGCTTTGAAACAAAATCACTTGATGTGCTGCATTTTCTATTAATGCACTGCCCGAGTCTTATATTTCCTTTCTCAAGCATAACAATTACCTTTGGGGTTCATCTGTAGCAACTTTAAAGAATATTATTTGATTTCTCTTAACAGAACAGTTATTAGCTCTTATGCAATACAGCATCATTTTTCCTCATGTGAATTCCTGCTATGCAATAACTCTCTGTTTATCGCTGTGATCTGTACTTGGCTGTTTGCAGGTTGTGGGGTGCGCGCTGTTCCCCAGTTCCCTCAAAACACAACCCAGGTATCAGAGATCTTTGCTGGTTCTACATAAATGAGTGTTAGTACCCTTGTGAACCTTCAGTTTACAGCACGGTTATTATTCCCAACAGTCAAGCTTTTTCGACACATACAGTACATGACTAGCTCTAAAAAATAAACCATCTTACAACACTTATTAACATCAAAATGTGAGACACTTATGAGTGTAGAGCAAAGATTTATTTTATCAGAACTAAAGACAACAGATTCTTGAATGTATACATGTGTATATGTATAAAATTTCTTGTTCCATATTAGATACTTTTTTTTAGGACCTCAAATGAAAGTTTTGGAAATTCCAAATGATTCAAGAAATTTACAGTTTATTCATAACTGAA